AGGGTTTAGGGTGTTAGGGTGTTAGGGTTTAGAGACCCTAAACCCTCACTGGTCCCATGCGAAGGTCACCGCGGGTGGCTTGGACCCAGTCTTTCTTTTGTTGGTGTGTTGTCCTTCGCAAGAAAAGGTGATTTTTCTTTGCTTCCTAAGTGGTACGATGTCTCGCGTCTAGTGACTCTAGTGCCCATACCAAGTTGTCGAGTGCCCTCAATCTCACACTTGAGAGTCACTTCACTCCACCATTACCGAAGCACTAGCAGCAGCTGTCGTCGTCTTTGTAGCAGTACCGCAATGCCACGATGACTGCTATCAAGAATGGCACGACGACTGCTGCCTCCACGGGACGACGATCACTGCTGTTGCTGTTGCTGATATTGCTGCAGCTGCCGCTGACCACCTCTTCCACCGCCACTGAGCTGCCGCCATTACGACGATGGCGACTACTACTACCACTACCACTACTGCTGCTGCTGCTGCTGCTCCTACTACTACTACTACTACCACCACCACTACTACCGATTACTATTGCTGCTGCTGCCTCTGCTGCTGCTGCTCCTGCTGCTGCTGCTCCTGCTGCTGCTGCTCCTGCTGCCGCTGCCTTGCTGCTGCTGCTGCTGCTGCTACTACTGCTATTGCGACTGCTACTACCACCACCCTCACCGCCACTGCCGGCACCAGCACCAGCACCAGCACCGCCGCCGCCGCCCCCACCACCACCACCACCGCCACCACCACTGCCACCGCCGCCACCACCACCACCGCCACCACCACCGCCGCCGCCACCGCTACTACGACTATACGCCTACGACAGCGACAACCACAGCCACCACATTATTGCTTGCAGCTGCTTGTGCCCACCAGCACTGCCATTGCTTTTGTTGCTAAAAATACCTCCAAGGCGCCGACAACAACCACTGACCACCACTTGGTATTGCTGCTGTAGCTCCCCACTAGCTGCTACACTCTCCTACTCCCGTGACGGCAGTCGTGACTGCTGTTCGGTGGCTATTGCTGCCATTGCATGGCTTGTCTTCTGCCGCATCTTTGCTACGCAGGCCTATCAAGCGGATGCTGGCGAGGCCTGCATTGAACATGCTAGGCTGCTGGTTCAGCAGGCATCAGTGTAGCATGCACAGCAGACGCAATGTAAAGTAATCTTCACAGGAATGCTCGTGTTGCGGGAGCTTCACATGCCCACAAGGGTAATATGGGAACCTGATTAAGAAACCCTGGGCCTTTACTAGGGTTCCTTAATATGAATCCTACTATTTTGGGGTTATAGGGCCAGGGTTTCGTAATCAGGTTCCTAAATTAACTTATACAAGTCTTGGTCTACTCGATGACAGGAGGCGAAAAAAGATCCAAACCCCGAGAAACCAGGCTGCTGGGTCCAGCTCGGCTCGGGGGGCCAGAAAGGCCCAGCGAGTTTGCGTGTACTTCTGGCTGCAGTTCGAGTCTAATTTAGGGTTGGCTGTAGGTTTTGGGGTTTTGGGAGTTTAGGGTTTAAGCTTTAAGCCCCAAGCCCTAGATCCTTATGGGGGTCAGGGAGGTTAGGTATCACAGTTTTTTGTACGTGACGGGTTTCACCGCAGGAGCTATCGGACGGACAGAAGCGGCTCAGAAGCAATGGGCCATGATGGGGTTGCGCACCCCAGATCCTCAAGGATACACCCTAAACCCCATGAGGCCCTAAACCCTCAGTCCCAGACAAAGAGCTGTGCCCAGGCTTGTGAAACGCTTCGTTCAGAAGATGGTGCGAGGCCGGGAGTTGAAGATGTTGTCCACGAGCCTCGACGATGTTAGGGAGGGTTCAGCATCCTGGGATTTGGTAGTCTAGAGTCTAGGGGGCCTAAATAATTACCAAAACTATTTTTGGGGGGCTCCTTATTATAAGTATACTAGAAATTAGCCCGGAGCGATTTTTTTTGGGGGAGGTTCCTTATTCTACTACGAAACCTCCTGTCTCTGGTTTCAAGGACCGGCCGTTCACTCCTATGTCTGGTGATGCTGGACCGTGACTTGGTACCGCAAGGGCCGTTGCGAGTAGGAGTTGCATGTCTCTCTTATTTCGTTGTTTCTTCGTTTATTGGGTTTCGGAGGATCTTATACGATCCTATCTTCGAATCTTGTTCAGGCAGGGGGCTCAAGGGGCCAGCCCAGGTGACATCCGTCATCTCTCCATCCAGCTGGCAGGCAAGGCGGCGTCTCGGCGGCCGTTAGTATCCTCACCGTACTACGGTTGATGATATAAATCCTGCATTACCCGTAATAAGGACTATGCCATACTTCCCATAGTGTAGGGTCTTTAAAGTACTGCTGGGTTTCTATCATCAACAGTACCTCGGCTGTGCAAAGGAGCTCAGAGGCAGTTCCATAGCATGCTACATAAATCGTCGTGTATTGTGGCTTTCATTCCATCATAACCTACTAAGTAACTATCGTCATAATTAGTTTAACTTGATTTAAATAACCGACCCCGCCGGGGCGGCGCTCAGAAGGTGTGTTCTGCTGGCCCTGGGTGTCATGCCTTTGTGCCAGGGTCAACCACTCCGAGTTCCCAAAATGCGCAGAAACTCCAAACCCGAAGCCCCAAACCCGAAACCGCAAACCTTAAAACCCTAAACCCCAAAACCCCTAAACCCCTAAACCCCAAGCCCTAAAGCCCTAAACCCTAAACCCCCAAACCCCTTAGCCCCAAACCCCTTAGCCCCAAACCTTAAGACCCTAAAACCCAAACCCTAAACCCCTAAACCTTAAGACCCTAAAACCCAAACCCCAAACCCTACAACCCCAAACCCTAAACCCCTAAACCTTAAGACCCTAAACCCTAAACCCCTAAACCCCAAACCCCTATAACCCCAAACCCCAAACCCCTTAGCCCCAAACCCCAAACCCCCAAACCCCTTAGCCCCAAACCCCAAACCCCCAAACCCCCAAACCCCCAAAAGCCCTCGGCCCGCTGCCGCTTTCCACGCCGACTCCCAGGACGCCAAGCAGCGCTTTGTGAACCTGAAGAGCATCGAGCAGCGCCTTCTTCTGAAAGGTAGGGTTTTAGGTTTTAGGGTTTAAGGTGTGAGGCTTTGGCTCAAGGGTGTAGTTCATAATCTTTTTTGGAGGGGTTTTCAGGGGTCGAGGTGCTTAGGAGCTTGGGCTCAGAGGTGGGAGTAGGCTTTTGGCATGCGGGGTGGAGGCTTTGGGGTTCAGGGTCGAGGATCTTCTGGCTTGGCTCACGTCTGCGGTACTGTAGACTGTAGATATGTCGATGCATGCATGCACGGATGGATGTATGCATGTAACGTATCTATGTATGTATGAATGTACGTACGTATGTTTGGATGTGTTTTTGTGTCTTTATGTCGATGTAAGTATGCTGCATGTCCTCGTGTACTTATGCATGCATGCTTGGATGGAGGATGGATGGACGGATGGAAGGGTGGATGCATTTATATACGTAGCTCAACACAAAAATATGCATGTATACATATATATATATACACACTCTCTCTCTCTCTCTCACTCCCTCTCTCTCTCTCTCTCTCTCTCTCTCTCTCTGTCTCTCTCACTTAAACGTACATGCGCACATACATTCGTACGTACGTTCGTACGTACCTGGGTACTGCAACTCGGCTGGACCGACGACCAAACTGTCACTCTAAGCCTTGTTCCCATTCGTCTTTCTTGGTCCTTGGTTCTTGTAGATTCTAGCTTTCAGACCTTCCATGAAGGAATAAGAGCAGAATGTAGAAGCAATCATGTTCAACACAAAAAGCGTTTGTAGCACACAACACCAGCAACCGTTTTTCTAGTCTCGCACTAAACAGACATCGTAATCTCCATCGTAAGTGCAATAGCAATCGTAATACTGAGTGCCATCGTAGTTGCAATAACTATGATGTATGCAGTAGAGCGATAAGCGGAATAGTCTGCAGCGATGCGGGGTTCAAAGGCACTCTTGTCTAGCTCTCCGCTTTACTGCGGCTGCCAAATCCCGCCGCGATCTGCCGCATCTTCTCACATCCTAAAAGGCAAGAAAGAATTGCATTGTGCACATGCCCCCCTGGTACACGGCCTACTTGTGAAGCGGGTCGTTCTTCGGCATATCATGACGTATGCTCTCGGGCATACAGCACCGAGGATCTTTGTCGGAGAAGACGTCGCAGAGGACATTGAGCTGCCAGTCACAGACTTGTCCGTGACCTTGGTTCTTGATCCTCGGAGTAACAAGAATTTTACTGTAGTATGGTATAGCATAACATAGTGTAATGTATTGTAGTAATTTTGGTGTAGTATAGTATAGCATAGCAGACTGTGATAGGAGATCATGAATCATGATAAAAGGCCATATAATGGGGGTGAGGCTACCAGCATCACAGCCTAACAGCCACGTCATTCTGCACACCGCATCCTACACTGCATGTATCTACAATCTATCTCCCTTGCACTCAGGAAGAAGGACAAGCTATTGCCTTCGAGCTGAATGACGAAGAGGAGAGGGACACCTTTGCCGGGACCTCAACGCTTTAAAGCAAGATTGACAAGTTTGAAGCCATCAAAAGCTTCGCACCCTTTTCGTGAATTGGGCATCTGAGGCAATGTGCATGCAAATGCTCCTCAGCTGGAATAAAGGTGCTTCAGACTGCTTGCTTCTTGCTGGTGCGAGTATTCCCTGGTGCCTAGCCAGCAGGGCCACCAACATAATTACACACAGATTCAAGATTCCTTGGCCAGCAAAGGTTCGTCGATGGCAACAGAAAGGACGCTGCCAGAAGGAGGAAAGGAAAGACTTGAGCGAAAAAGCATTGTAGCGCGCCTGCTGCCATAACACGGAAGCCTCAAGAATACCTAATCATTCCTTCCTTATTATAAGGATCCTGTATAATATACTGAGATACTGTAGTCCACCTTAAAGCCCTCTTCTAGCTCACAACGCACTTCTTGCAGTCACTGCAAGCTTGGAGCCTACGTTCCGTTGCCCGTTGGCAGGTGCAGATCAAGACATCATGACGCAGCAGCAAATGGTTCAACTCAGCAAGCAGGTCCGATAGCACAGAAGGGTTTTGGGGCGGGTGGGACATGACTGCGCATAGCGGCGCAGCATGCCTGCACACTTGCGGCATCCCCATGTGACAGGCGGGTGCGAATCAGCAGTGGTTTACCACGCCGATGCTGGCACCTGGCGCACGCAAACTGGTTCGGCAATTGGTCCATCTGTTCAGCTTCAGCTGTCGCCTCCCATCGTGGTTGATGCATCAGCGGATTCGTTCATGCGCATGCCATGCAGCCATGCGAGGCCAGAACGACAGTTCGTTGGTTTGGTATCCAACGGTGAGGCCTGCCTCTCTCGGTAGGTGCCATGTTGCGAGATTGTGCGCTCCTTATGGCAGACCACAGGTTGTTGTTCCGGCAGCCGCTTCCAGAGGTGCCCGACCTCAGTCACTTTTCAATTTCATTCGCAGTCGCAGTATTCCCATGGTCAGCGCATGTGACCACAGGTCACAGACTGACGCTTCAGATTCATTGCTCAGGCATGGTCTTCAACCAACGAAATTTTGTGTGGCCAGATCTCGGTGGAGGCAGTCGGCAGTATTGTGCCAAGTCCTGATGCTTCTGCGCACGTGGGAGCTCTTCCTCCAGGGTAAGAGTGCCTATCTCAATCTGCAGAAGGGCGTAGCATTGATTGCTATTGCGCCAGGTAATGGCCTTGACGGGGGATCTTCTGCGCGATGCCGGCTTCTTAGTTTCTGTCCTCGCTGCTCGGAGCAAGCTGGTGGAAGCTGGAAATTACCGACAGCCACCGGGCGACTTAAACTTAAACCCGCTAAATCCTGAAATTCCCAAGCCTGAGCCCGACACCCCAACCCCTAAGTCCTCAATTCCAATGACGCAGCCGGTTGGCTCACCTAAGCTCGAAACAGTCCACGTGACGACATCAAACTAAAGCCTGAACTTCCAAATCCCCGAACAAGCCCGACCCATGCATCCGTGCCTGCCCCCTGCGAGTGTGCGAATCGAAATCCCCGAACCTCTCTCAATGCATGTGTTGTGTGTGTGTGTCTCTGTGTCTATATTATATGCATACATATACATATATATGTGTACACACTATCTATCTATCTATATATATATATGCATACATGCAGACACAAATACAGACACACTCTTTTCACCGACTATTCAGGGCAACTTGGGTGAGAACGGCCGCGTTTATGTCGTGGACAGCTCCGGAGCGGTGCTGTCTGCGCTCGACCTCCAGGCGCAACTCCAAACTGCAGAAAGGCAGGCGTTGAGAAAAGATGGGGTTCTTTACTGAGGGGTCCCCATAGACAGGTATTGTTACTGTATTTTGGGGTTTACATTACGGTATGCTTGATTTTCGGGACTGGGTTTCGGAGAGTTTAGACATCAAGTGAGAGTTGCTCCCTCGAAATATCAAAAGGCATGTTGTAACACGTTTTCCCTGGTCCCTGGTCGTCTCACTAGTACAGCTGCATCTTGCTCTCCTTGGCTATGCTCGTGTTGCCGCTACTGGTGCTACGACAACAAGGACGACGACGACGACTACTGCTTGTGCTAATTCTACTTCCACTGCTATCACCACCACCACCACCACCACGACTGCTGCTGTTGCTGCTGCAGCTGCTGCTTATGCTTACGGTGGTGCCTCTGCAGGTGTTGCGGCTGCGACGCACTAGAACTATTGGTGGTGCTTCTCCTACACTGCGTGCTTTCAGCAGCCTGCTCCAACGCAGCTTTTGGTTCTGCCTCCTCAAAAGCAGGACACGATCACGATGACCAGGACTGGAGCATTGCAGTTCAGGCCCGAATCACTCTTGGGGTCTAGGGGTGTTTTTATTTGGGATTTGCGTTTTTTTTATCTTTGCGGCAGCTTCCTGGTGCTGTGCCGCGGTTTCAGAGTGGCTTGAGGCTGCTGGGTGCTTTTCATGACAAGCAGTTTGAGGTTTCGGCGGCGTCATTTGGCACCTCGCAAAGAAATCTTCAACATGACCTTTTGCAAGCTCACCCCGGGGTGAGTTTGCTCAGCCTTCTCTGTGCCGGCTGGCGTGTAGGATGCCTTTGCACGATGCATCCCGAACACCACAACCTCGGAGCCTTCAACCACCTGCCCTAGCACGAAAAAAGGCACCTTGAACCCTCAACTTCTTTTGGGACTTTCCGAAAACAAGGGGTACCTTATTTGGGGGTCCTTATAATAAGGATCCTACTATTTAGGGTACTATATTAGGGTGCCCTATATTCGGAAAGCCCCTTTTCTGAGAGGCACATCACGGAGATGGGATCCTTTGGCAATCTGGTTGCAAGCGCCCCGAGCTTGGCAGCTGCTTCCTTGTGACCTTCCGCCTCAGCTGATGCGTCCTCTCTTTTCCTTTCCAGTCCCTATCATATAATGCACGCACATCTTCCCTTCGTAGTCCGAGTATAACCATAGTACAATAGACCCCATATTCCCTTGTGGACGGTATATAACTCAACTATGGCACAATCGACCGCCAAGTTTCATATACGGTCTGTAAGTAACTTATCTGTAGCACACTAGACATTATAGTCCGAAAAAACTATTAGTAACCCTAAACCCTAAACAACCCTGAACCATCCTCAACCCTAAACCCTAAACCGCAAATCACATTGGCCATGCTGGCTTTGGGCCTGGTTCAGGCCTTCAAAGGCAGCATGATCGAGGAGATGCAGGTGAAGGAGGCTGGACGCCCCAAAGGTCAGGCAGCTTTAAGGCTTCGGGCTTAGATGGGGAGAGAGTCCGGGTATTTTTGGAGCCTCTGGAGCCCCTAAACTCTGAAAAAAACCCAAAACCCTAAACCCTGCGAAGTGCCTCTGCATGGCTCTGCTCCTTTATTTCCGGCTGTCTCCGGGCCAGTCTGGGGCGCCCCAGAGCCTGAGACACGATGACAGGGGTCTCAATCTCAGGATTCCCCCCTGGTAGGCCCTGTATCACTACCCTAAGCTGCCATATCCTACTTTTTTGTAGGTTCTTATTATAATCCCTATAATATGGAATTTGTAGGGACCCTACAAAAAAGTAGGTTTTGGTAGGTTAAGGTAAAGCATAATGTCCCCAACACCCTCGTCGAATTGTTGAGGCCCGCATGCCAGATGAAGCTCAGTGGCATGATGGTGACTACGATATGAGGAGAAGGATGGCATTCAAAGAGCAGCAGCCAATATGCTGAACAATCATGGCAGCAGGTACAAAGACTGGGAAATCGTAGAAGTATAGTCGTTGCGTCTGAATACTACGAACGTTATGACGGGAAGGATGATTGTAATCCCCATTATCATCTAATTGCAAGGTCTTGCTGCTTTGCACATCCGCTGCCGGCGTCGTGGAACCAGTCCTAACTTCTCAACGCTTGAGTACATTATACAATACTTGATATAATTCCTCATTCTTATTCCGTCAGAATCTCGAGTGTATCATGCTCGTGTTCGCATGAGCCCGGGTCGAGTCGATCTGGTGATGTGCTGGAGGGCTCCCTGGCCGCTGTAGTGCAGCCGCTGCGGTCTCCCTTGGAGATGTTTGCCGTCGTGGCGCCGGCCCTGGCAATCTCAGATGCTCCCACCATGCTCCTAGCTTCATGTACTAAGGATGCGTGATCATATCTGATATAATATAAGATACTCTCTCTTTCTCTCTCTCTCTCTATATATATATATGTTATATACTATATATATATATGTAAAGATATACATATAATATTATAACACAACATAGCAAAATGCATGAATATTCTCCCGTGAAGAAGTCGGCCAGATCATGCCCTGAAGCCCTCCCTTACGGAAGAGATCTGAGGTCGTTTCCCGGTACGAGAACACCGATTTCCAGGACTTTTCCAAGCTCGAGTTGGAACCTTCCGAAAATAAGGGTTTAGGGGTTTAGGGTTTAAGGTTTAGGGTTTAGGTTCCGAAAGTAAGGGCCCATGAGGATTGAGACGTCTACCCCGCCCAGAAACCGTGAGGGGTTCCAACATGGCCCACCTGAGAAACACGTAGAGCCTTCGAGCTGGTTGAAGGATCAATCGATCGTGGAGTCCATGTCGGTGCTTCTGACATTTGCCTCCTTGCCGTGCGCTGGTGGCACGAGACGTAGGGTTTCGTGACCCCGTCTGACAGATTTCCAACCTAGCTGACATCCAAGCCGGCGCCAGGTACATCATCGTGACGGTCACATTGACGATCGTCTTTGTGTCCGCCAATTCGGGAATGCAGCTTTAAACTGAGACAACTACACAGCTGTCAGACACTGTTGAGTTGTTCTTGCAACTGCCTGCAACTAGGCTGAGCAAGATGTCCATCGCCCGGATAACAGGGGCTGCCACAAGCACAGGGCTCAGCACAACGTAAAACAGGCGGGTCGCACTCTTTGCCGCACCCAGCCTGAACATGAATCGTACTTTTGTTTGCTTCCGAGCGTTCGCTTGATACTCACACTGACTGCGCTCACTAGAATTTAGGAAAGAAAGATGGATGTTCCCTGGAACCAATGTTGTAATGAGCGTGAGTTTGTCCTGGGTCTCACCCACTGCTGTGTGTTGCCATGTGGCAAGCTCCCTGCTCCAGCCGAGTCGGAAGTCGTCGTTCTGGATAGAGAGAGACTTCTGCAGATGGAAAGCGGCACATGGAAAGCATCTAAATTTCCAAAAACTTAAACCAAACCACCACACCCCGAAATTGCGGTTGTGCACCGAGGCCTCGCCAGCCGACGGCGGAACAGGCACTGCACCCGCACACCGCGTTGCTTTGCAGAATGAATGTCATGTAATGTCATGCCATGCCATGCGTGCCATGTCATGTCATGTCATGTCATGTCATGTCATGTCATGTCATGTCATGTCATGTCATGTCATGTGTCATGTCATGTCATGTCATTTCATGTATGTACGTCCGCAAGTAAGTACGTATGTACGTACGTACGTATGTCGGTATGTCTGTCTGTCTGTCTGTATGTATGTATGTATGCATGTATGTATGTAGGGGTGTGTGGGTGTGTGGGTGTGTGTGTGTGTGCGTGTGCGGGTGCGGGTGCGGGTGCGGGTGGGTGTGGGTGTGGGTGTGGGTGGGTTTGTGTGTGTATGTGTGTGTGTGTTTGCGTGGGTGTGTGTGTGTGTGTGTAAACGCCTGAACATGGCATCATGACTCCGGTGGCCAATTGTAGCAAGGGCTCCAGTGACAAGCCTTGCCCAACGAAGCCAAGTCACTGGAGTGGATGCAGTGGCTGATCACCACTGTGTACCTGCTGATTGAATGGCCAGCCCAAAATACTCCAAAAAACGCTGTTGTTTCCATCGTTGGCCTCAATGATACTGTACGGTTGCTGCAATCTGTCATTGCATTAGGATGCTCG